TTACTTCGATCTTGTACAGTAATAAACAATTCTTCACATTGAATTCCTAATGATGAACGTATTAAACTATCACAGTGTTCTTCATTGAAACATCCAAAATCATATAAACAAAGGCGACGAATTGATGAACTTTTAAGATTAAATAAAAATGCATATGAAAATAAACATTCAGTCAATGTTAATGAATAAAGATAAGGTGCTTGTTGAAGCAATTTATTAAGTTGTACTTGACTTCGAACATTATTCGATAATTTTACATTTAATGAAATTAATTTATTAAAATTTGGAACAATAGACCAAAATGAATCATTAAAAGGAAAATGTAATTTAAGACTGTAAAGATTAGGAAATCTAATAGAAGAATTGATTGAATCATTAAAATATAAATTATGTACATTATCATAAAACCAATGAATTTCATTATTTGGACACGTTGATTTGAATTGTACATCAGAATTAATTGAAAAATCTTTATAATAATATGGTATAGTATAAAGATAAGATTTAGACAATTTATTCAATAAATACCAATGACTTTGAATATACCATTGATGTTTAGTAATCCAAAATTGACTACGAAATGAATCAAGTAATTGATTGACTTGTTCTTCCTTATCATTATTTGAACGAAGATAAAATTCCATTTTAAAATGAAATATTTTTAGATTCAATAAATGATTATTTATAATCTGTTCCCATTGATATCCATCTATAACAATATGTGCTAATTCAATAGTTAAATGAGTTAAATTTGGCATATTTTTTAATAGATTATTTGTTATATATGGTGAATATTGAACAAAAATTTTTAATTTTTTCATTGATGAAATATCAAATGATATTTCTTGATAATCATAATTATGTTCAATATCAATACTTAAATTTTCAAGATTAATTGTATGTTCAAATAAACGATGTAATTCATTTGAATTATAAGAAAAACCTTCGAGATACAAATGTTTTATTGATAAAGAAATATTGTTTGGACAAATAAAAAATGGATTCCATAAGTATTTCTTTCGTTCAAAATGACAATAAGTTAATTTCGGTAGATTCCAAATTTGATTAAAAATCCATCGATCATTAATTAAATCATGATCAATTTGACATTTATCTATTTTGAGATAAGTAAAATGATGAAGATGTTGTAATTCAATTATTATATTATACATAATATGTTCTGAACAAATATAACCTAATGAAAGAGACTTTAAATAAGTAAATTGATGAAATAAAAAACCATAAGAAAGAAAAATATTTATTTGTTGAGGACTTTCATTATTATCTGAGAGACGAATTGAAACAACATGATCGATAAGTGTTCGAAGATATTGTTGACAAATAATATCTAAATTAGTTTTTGATATTGATTCAAAATTAAAATGACCATGAAGTTGAAAATGAAGGAAAAGAAGTTTATTGAAACGAATATTAAGACCATAAAATGCACGAAATATATGAGTAGTATTTAGATATTCAAATAGTTCAAGTAATAATTCATTAGCTAATATTTCTAAATTCATCTATTGACAAAAATAAATCGTTTTCACTATGATTCAAAACTGATAAAAAAAATGTTTTTTTTTTTCTAACGCTTACTAATTTTTCTTTTTCTTCCCTTGTAGTAACAATTAGTAAATACTAACAGTAATATTATTTTTTTCTCACGATTCTTTTTCTCGTTCTTTTATTTATCCTGATAGTGTTGTTGTTTGTGTGTAGAGGTGTAAGCCAATCTGCTGGGCCACCGCCACCGCTGAGATACGAAAATGTATTTTTGGTTTTGAAAAAATTTTTGAATCCGAAATTAGTTTTTGAAGATGTTACCATCGAGTTTCTTATCAATAAGTTCTCTACCATCATTTTCTCTCGTTTTTTCATTTCAAAATTTCTTGAAATTAAGAAAATTTTTCAAGAAATCATTGAAAAATTTCAGCCGTCGCTATCAAACAATGAAATTAGCTTACATCTCCATTTGTATGGGATTTCGAAGTCGAAAAAAAATATGATATTTATCATCGAATTCTATATCGATATTAAGATATACCTTCGATAAAGTGATATACTATTGCTGTTCGTTAAGCATTTTGATTGATTACCGAAAAATAAAATACAATGCAACATAAAATTCGGGAAAGCGAAAATTGGTCGAACGAAAATTGATCGACGAGAAAAATAGTCGAAAAAGTTGTAATAAAAAAAATAAAATACAAATTTCGAATGCGACGAGTCAGCCAAAGCATTACAAGAAGAATATGAAAGACGCCATTGGTGAAATATTCATCACGACAACGGAGCTTTTCTCTAGTGTATGCAGCATATGAAATAGAACTCCTTTTTAAAACTAAAATTGCTAGATTCATGTACTTTCATGAAATTATATCGAAATTAATTCTGATAGAGCTGTGGAACTGCAAAAAAAAGCCTTTTGACAGTGTGGTGTAATTGTCAGCGTTGGTGCAGCTGCAGGTATGAGTGCCACAACTGGTGTAAATTGTAGTGCGCAATGGAGTTTAGAAAGATCCATAGAAACATTCGCACCCGTTTTTTATTTTCATTTTGTCCTCTGCTTAAAATCAACAGTTCTGGAAAGAGGTTGGAGTCCACTTTACTTGCACACAGTACTGCAACAACGATATTAAAAGTACCGGCGACAGATTATATACTGATATTAATTTATTTTTTATACTGCTGTCGCTCTTATTGAAAAATTCTTTCTAATTAAGAATTTTTCGACTATTTTTCGTTCGACCAATTTTCGTGGACCTGTCAGATAACATATTATATCGCTTACTTAATTACCAAAAATACTTTGGGTATATCAAAAAGTAAATTCATGACTAACGCAAACCTATTTGTCAATAAAACTAATGCTACATAGGACTATTAAGATCGCCAAATATTTGCAAGAAACGTGTGATAATTACATTCAAACATTTTAGATAATGGTTCCTGATTTGACTATTCTCTTGCTCCAATTAATAACATATATAAATTTATAAAATCACGTTCACACGAGCTAAATATTAGCTTTACTTGCTGTTTTTTTTTCTGCTGGCTTAAGATAAATTTCATTCCATACTTTTTAGTAGTTACCTGGTCTATATAATTATGTTATGGGATTGAGGAAAGTAAATCATACCTGTATTATTTTAATTTATGTACTACTTAGATCTGATAGGGTTTAATCTTTCTCATACTACATGTATCAATTACTTTCTTGAAGCTATTGATTTTAATTATACAATTACTTATCGATTGAGCAACATTAACAAAAATAGAGAATACTTCTGTATGTTCTTATTTTCTTTTTTGACACTCAATCGACTCGCTATTGGAAGATGCAAAAAGTACTTTGAAATTGTTCCTATGAGATGACATCAATAAAGAAGAAAAGAAGCGCAAATACCTAATCAATATAAGACCATATATTAGTGCTATCTACAAACAGCAGCTATGGCATAACATGAAAATAGATTAAAAAATTTTCTCTTCCAGAATGACAAGATTGAGATTTTCGAAATCGATATTCTAAAATAATAGCCACAAAAGAAAATTTAATTAAAAGTACTTGTTATTTTGTTTTCTAGGCAGATAAGAGATTACTATGCAATGCAAATCATGAAATTTAATAAAACCACGAACAAATCTTCGATATTATCATATTTATGTAAGAAGATGAATAAAACTCTGGTAGTCATTTCCATAATTATTCTTGCTGAGGATGTGGGTGTGGACCTGGATATAAGAAGAGACAACACCCACACCCACATACGCACATCCTCACGCACTACAATACGTTCAACAGCTTCGATGGTTTCATCGTTGATTTTAGTTGATGGACGACTAGTTCGGGATGCATCTTCGAAGCCACATTCTGAGTCCTTAAATTCAGCCATTCATTTTGCGACGGTGCGGTAAGATGGAGCGGAGTTCTTGTAAACATTATCCAACTGGTTGTAGATTCTAGTAGCATGTAGCTCTTTCTAAGTAAAATACAGGTTGTCTGAAAAGTAACTTCCTATTTTAAATCCTTGATTACTCTCAAACAACAAAAGATATTGTGGGTGTGAGTGTGGATATTTGTCTGTTGTTCATCAACACCCACCCACGCTCTCATTTTCATCAGATATGGAAGGAAAGATTTTGAGACACATTAACCATGCACAGAAAAACTAAATGTCGGCAAGGGCACCAGTTCAAACGTTGTACAAGAGCTTGTTCAAAAGCGTTCGAGCAATATTTTACTCAGGATCAAACAAAGAAAGATACACTGCAGAAATCCTTTCCTTTTAATCTTTCTCACTATGTGATCGCCTTGGATATCTTTGTATCAGTATAAAAATTAGTTACATCATGAGTAAATCGAGAATATATTCAACAAAGCTCAACATTATCGTTCACTCTCAAAAGCAGCAACAATAGAAAATACGAAAAACATTATTTCATTGGACTTATTCTGATTTTGAGAACAACTATACGAATCTGTTTTTTAAGCATGAAAAAAATCACGATAATGGCATGCACAATATCCCATAGTTTCATATAGTGCATCTGCTATTTTTAATGATTCATTCTTATTGGAATACGGCAGTAGGTTTAGTCTTTGATTGTTTGGAATCATACAGAGAGATCTGCATAGATCAAAATTATCTGATGACAATCCTCGACAGCGAGGACGAAATTTTAATAATAATATGTTCAATCTCACATCTTCCTCATATTTTCGTCCTCATTCCACTTTTTAGATAACAATTGATAAATGCAGTACATACGACCAATATCCGAATGCTTTTTCTTATGCTTCTGGCGAGCTAAAGAATTTAACTTCTCTCTATTCGAAAAATCAAAGATAATAAGAAAAATAAACCAAATATAAAACATAGTGAACGAGTTTATTGATTATATCACAAGAATATTAAAATAATAGATGTGCGGGATTAAAATAAGACTTGTAGCAGTCAAACTTTTCGATAAGTTATAGTCATGTGAACGAAGACTTATCGCGCAGTACACATCGCAGGACTCGTTGTTGAACAAATACGCAATTCAACATCATCAATAACAAAATCATTTCCACTCCCTCCAGGAGCATTTGAAATTGCAAGCAAGGCGACTGAACTGGTAGGTGTAGTAAATGAGATACCATATTGCTGCCAAGTCAAAGTAGGATATTCTGTTATATTGCCTGTGCTTAAAGTTGCAAGCAAAGTATGTGAAGATGTCGCAGTTCGAACTTCAAAGTTAATATTTGGTTGAATCAAACCAGATGGACTTTTGACAGCATTAGCTATGTAGATGGAAAATTCGTAAGTTGACCCTATACACAAATTGTTGGCTGTGATATTTAATACTTGATCGGGATTCACGTTTGCACCAATTAGCATCATATATCCTTTAATACTTGCTGTAGAATTATTCTCTGTGTGATCTGGTGCTCCTGTATGCCACACGCCATACATGGGAGGAATTACATTCACAAGCGCAAACTGTCCATCGATTATGGTACCATTGAAAATCTGTTGGTAAGTTGTACTGAAGTTAAGGTCAGAAGGTCTTTGTGAAGAAAATGTATCTGTCCCGCTACCAAACGTGATTAAAAATACCGATGATGAGTTTCTCGTGGTTTCATTAGGACATAAACCAGTAGATTCTGTATAAAGAAAAAAATCGAAATCGATACAGTTACGAATAGAATTTAAGAAAAACTTTGCACATACGTATTTGACAAGGTGGAGTAGATGAACCAAATAGACAAGTACAATTATTCGGTGAGGAACATCGTTGATCATCGCCACATTCAGGATTGCATACAGCTGCAATGAACAAGACAAAGTTGAAATGAGTTGTACATTGGTAATAGAAAAATAAACCAATAACTCTTTAATTAAACCATAAGAAACACTGATTTCAAGATTAAAATGATATCAAACCTACGCTAGACGACAATGTCGGTTATGAGATCAAGAGTTATCGTTCAAATTAGCATAAGATAAAGATGACTCTTTATAGACTCAACTTTATTTAACCATCATAGTTGTTTAGCGACCTTGCAAGATCTATTTCGTACGACTTTTTAGCTCCAACATTATTGTTTATGTTTTTCCTAGTGTTGATTACACATCTTGAAACAGTTTCATTGTTTCTTCAAATACTACACTCTAAAAAACAATAGTTTTTTTACGAAACCTGATAAGACTTTTCTTACAGATACAAACTCGGAACTTTTTTTGATTTTGTACTGAATCTATTTAAGTTTGGAACAAAAAGCGTGAAATCTTTTTCACTTCAGAGAACCTTCAAGAAATTTCGTGCATTTTACACAGAACCTTTTTAGGTTTGATACGAGACCGAGAAATAAATCCCTAGTGGCATCCATCAAAACAATTCTTTTTTAGGTTTGTGTAAGCGAAGTTCAAAACAAAGATTTGAGCATCATTTTTAAGAGTAAGAATAATTTTGATATGTTCATAGAGTGATCTTCTTACTTGAATAGAATTATCTCTTTGCGCTTATTTTGAACAAAAAAATGAATTTTTATTTGAAACTGGGTTTTAAAGAGTGTGTAGCTATTTTACTAATCTTTCTTCAAATCGAGCGACACATTCAAGACTTTGGAAGTGTATCACAATTAATAGTACCGGTTTTGAAGTGTCATACATGAGACTAAATAAGCTGAGGATGACAGCAAAAGGAACTGACTAATCAATAGAACTTCAAAGCATATCCTGCACAAAACTGGTTTTCTAGAAGTCTCCAAATGTTCCGAAGCAAAACTTTCTATCTTTTACTTGAATATTAATCTGTGAAGAAAAATTCAATCTGATATAAATAAAAATATTCGTATAGTTCCGATCAAACTTCAAACGACTACCAGACTTATCGATTTGATGGTTACCTATCAGGTCTAGCTGAAATTTTGGAACCAGTCGACTATTCCTGATATTTTTAAACAATTTTAAGTGCACTGAAGCTAGCTTATTTTGCTTGCTATTATCTGTTGTCATGGTTTTCATGTTCCAGAAATGTATATAGGAAAGTCGTCAATTGACAGGTGTCTGATCTTTGTGAAGATCACAAATCTTGTTTTCAACTCGTGTTTTCTCATAGCACAAAAAGAGCTTTCGTTAATGATGTATGTATTGATTACGATTACAAAAAGTTAGCTACTAAAGGTTAAACTCATATGAACTAAAACTTTTCTGGTTCGAAATTTCTAAGTGCTCTGGACTAATTTTGACCAATTATTAAAAACTTTCGACAGCTATTAGTTACAAGTCTAGTATTCGTTACATAAATTTCAAAAAAGATTCGTTTTTGTTGTGCAATTTTTGTCAACTGCTATATCATACAATTACAACATTATCCAGATATTTAAAAACCTCAAACTATAAAGTGTAACATGGAAACCAAACTCTCTAGTTCATTTTTCTTCTTTATCCACAGCACTTGCTTCTAATCATACACTTAAGAATGGTTTAATCGGCATCATGGTATGTTTCGCTCATTCTCAAATTTTGAACAAAAACTAGCTCCACATTTGTCTCAAAATTTGGATAAACCACACAAAAATCTAACAGAAATTCCCATACGCTCTGATGAAATATACAAATGAAGTTTTCGTTATTAATTCAATCTAAAAACTCTCAATTGAAATTGTCATAGTTTAAAAAATTTTTCTCACGAAATCTTAACCGAAAGTACAAAATTATAACATACCTTCAGCACATGTGGCGCCACTCCAACCTGATGTACAGTTACAAACATTAGGACTTACGCATACACCATGTACACATTGAGGTGAACACACAGCTGTGAAAAACGAATATTGAAGAGCAGATTCAAAAATATCAAAATAAGGTATGATTTACGTGTTGCACAGTCATCACCACACCAGCCTGATGGACATGTGCAAACATCATAATCTGAACAATCACCAAGAGTTCCACAATGAATCAGACATGATACTGCAAAAAAAACGAGCATTACAAAAGTTAAATCAAGTCCTTTTGTTTATAGTATAACTCGAGGGTGTTGGTACAGTAATGATAATAGGTGTTGAAGATGATAAGACTCTCATCGATCCTTGACTGAGCAGATAGATTATAAAGATACTTGGTAGTTTAATTAAGGAAATACATGAAGGATTAGACCAAGAAGATAGTTGTTCAAAAGAAAGAAACGAAATGTATGTAATATTTTTATACAATACTAGGTTTTTAATGCTTTCCTTACTCTCAATCTTATTTATTTCTTGAGAAGTCCTGAAATGATCTGTCAAAATGTTGGATTTCAAGGATCTTGTTAATTTTTCTTCAGGAACTCGTCTCGCATTCTGTTAATTTCTATTTTAGAATTTTTCAGGATTAGACAGGACCCTGTTCAAGACTTGTTTAACTTTCTGCCCAGGCTATTCTCTAAATTATGAATCCAAGATCCTGTCGGAATTCATACTCGATCCTACTTAGGATCCGTATAAGAATAAAAGATAAGATTCTATCAACATTTGATCAAATTTTAGTCAGGGTCTGATCCGGATCCTGATACTAGGATCAAATCAAATATTTTATTGTAATCAGATGAGGACTCTAACAATGATCCAACAAACCAGTGTACCTGTGATTATAAATACTCGTAAACGTAACAAAACTCAACATTCACAACCAATGCACACATTTGTCGAACAAAAATCTTGAAGGTTTCTTCCAGGTTTCCACGATTTACATAGCAACTATTTGTCCAAAAAAAGTGACAAAATTGCTCAGGATCCTAATTGAATCCTGACTCAAGTTCTGACAAAACCCTCATATTTCGCGATTACACAATTCTTTCAGAAAATAGTAGTGTCCTCAGAAAAAAAAACAGCAAATCCTGGAGGGGCTACGTAAGTGAAATTATCACCAGACTCGAGTATTTTCAGTCTGGATTCACCTAGAAGTCATTGCACGAGAACCACGACCTACGTTGCTCAATGATTTTCTCCGATTTTGATTTTGATTAAAGCAATAGATAGTACTACTAAAGTTAGGTATATGGTAAAATTTTCAACGCTCAATACCTTTCCATTGCTGAGAAATAAGGACTTCATTTCTACCACCCAGCAATAGGAACTACTGTAGATGTTATTTTTTTAAATCATGCTGTTATTCATCTATAACGTTTCCAATCGCCAAACTTGGTGAGTATATAAAGGGTGTTAGCTAAGTTCTGATTCCCTTATTAAATTTTCTTTTTTCACGTCATTATTTGATTTGAAACGCTGATATTTACAGTACATGTCCATGATATGAAGACCTATTATGTACCAAAATTTGGGCTTTATACTCTTTATTAGAGTGAGGATNAATCCATTTGGACCATCGTCATTATTTGGATATGGTAAATCAAATGAATAATATGCTGTCAAAGTAGCATCATTTAAAATTTCTATAGAAGATTTTGCTCGTAATGTTATTTTACAATTATCAATATAACCATTAAAAGAATTTTTTATTAAACCAATTTTTGATGCACCTATTTCAATAATACCATTTGTAATTTGATAAGAGTTTGCATTTAATTTAATATTATCTTGTATTCCATTAATATATAATATTTGTTCTTCTGTATTATAATTATAAATAAATGCAATATGATACCATGTATTACTGATTAATATAATATTACTAATTAAATCATTATTTTTAAAACTTACAAATAAATGAAATGATCGTATAATTAAATAAAAACATTGATTTGTACATGTTGAACATCGACATTGACTAAATATACCATAATCTTCAGTATTATTTATAATTGGATAAATCCATAATTCAATTGTAAAACTTATTGAATTCAAATTAAGAAATGGTGTTGAAACAAGAAAATATTGATTTAATAATGATAATAAACTAAGTCCTCGATCTTGTCCTATAGATGGTTGATTTGATAATATTAGAGTATATGATGAATTATTTATTAATATTCCATTATAAACATTATAAAGATCTGGTGTTATACCATCGAATGACCAATATACTTCACTCATTGATGTATCTAAATTAATAATTCAAGATGATATAAAATGAATTCTTAGAAAAAATCTTCTGTATTCCGTAAAATCTCATTTCATTATATCGATAAACTAAATTCTTACCATTTACTTTTTGTGTTGCTGTATGTGTCGGCGTTGTTCCTTTATTGCTTAACGTTACACAAATTGGAATAACTATAATTAAGATCAAAATACCCGTTATAATACCTATGATTAGACCTCGAAAAAATGGCGATAAGGATGACCAATAGTTCCATAATGTAGTTGAAAATTTCTCTCTGAAAAAAAATCTTACTTAACTTTTAAGAATTTTACTATACATAACTTTGTCTACTTTTTTAGTTCGGAGTTTTGTGTATGACATTGATTTTTTTGCTTAGAGAGACTATTATTTGAATTAATATCATTTTCAACGTTTATTGCATCAGAAGATTCACGCTGATTGATGCTTTTTACGGTCTCTGACCATATACTCAACCGATCATGTACCGAAACCAATTCTATCATTGGTACTGTTTTTCGTGCTACCCGATGCTTCATTTCCTCTGCATATATTTGTGTTAGATACGCAAAAGGAAACAAGACTTGTAAAATTTCTTTTATTATTGTATAGGAACAAATACTCAAACTCTAATCTGCATATTATTATTAGTAATTATTCTGAAATATAAAAGAACATAGACTTGTTTTTAAAATACGTCTCTTTCTTAAAGAATTTTTTTTTGCTGAAATCATCTAGATATTTATAGAATGGAATTTGTTTCTAAATAAGTATTCATGCTTTTTATATTCATTGGAATAAGTATGGAGTTATATTAACTTGTTTAAAATGACAAAGAAAAAGTATACATTGATCAGACAAGATACGCAGCTTTATTAGTATTATATGAAAAATAATTCATTTTGATATTCAATAAATATCAATATTCATTCGGAAATTATTCATATCTAATGAAATGATTTGATAATAAAGAATCGCAAATAATAATCAGAGCCTTGATCGAGTCTTTTAATTTTGTGTTTGTCGAATGTTTTCCCTTACTTACTTACTTACATATATTCTAATCGGTCATCCAATATGCATTTCGACACGTCGATTTCGGCTTCCGATGGACATCGAAATTTCAAACAGAGTCCTCAAATTGCCACTTTCGGATAGATCGGGAGGTCGGCGTTAGGTCGTTTTTATCAACAGTTTCCGACCATATATACGGGAAAGGAGATTTAAACATGGGTACTCTAGATTCACTGTCGTCGAACAGTTGATCTAGATATGAGCTATTATTCTTACATCAACATCATCTTATCAATTCATAAAGAGATAGTAATTTAAAATTTTATTCGTGTTTTCTAACTTCTGATGCTATTTTTTGAAAACTAAAAATAATATTTTTGTATCAAGAAAGGAACAACTTTGTCACATCTCTAAGAGACATACGAGCTTTTTTTAATTTGAGATTCCATATAAATTGCTTATTTAATAAATATGACATATGATAATAAATTAATTTGCACAGCGAAGAATGAAATCAATATTTAGAATTTTTTTTTAAAATTCATTATGACTGTCTTAGACAAAATCACAAATGGATTTTGGTCTTATTTTCAATCAGTGAATGATAAATATTGTTCAGAAAATTACGAAATTAAGATAAAGTACGAAGCGAACATAAATCATTCTACTCAGATTATTGAATAAAAGCACGAAATATTTCAAAGTCAGATTTTGACGAATCGCTTGATCAAGATTATATTCACCCGTCAAAACTGTTATTATGATGGATTTGACTCTACTGAAACATTCGAAAATATCATTTTAACATGTTTATTTTAATGAAGCGGTTTTAAGTTCGATAGGTTTCTACTGATTGAATTGTGTTCAAGCAGTCGGCAGTGTTCTTTCGATAGGTGTCTTTTCTCCAAATACTTGAAATTTCGATAGCTGCCGAAGAGACTCGAAATTGAAACAGAATGAACAAAAAGTATATATTTCAAAATTTCAAGCAATCCTTGCGCTCATTATATGCTTTTCTATGTCTGCTTGCGATATCTTTTTACGAACTATATGTTTATTATTTTACTTATTGTCATAATAATAGTATTTAAAACCGTTGTCGTTATATGATGAACCAAACATCTGTAAAAATAATGTATTAATATCCTCAAGAACTTGACACTTCTTCTCATTTTCGAAGAAAAAGTCTTCTTTAGGCGGCAAATTTCTTATTTAAAAAAATGAGACAGAAAAAACACAAATATATGCTAATGTAACGAAGACTTAGAACATTTTCAATATGATTCGATAATACAAAATTTTATGTTGAAGAGTATGTATGATGACTGTCTTTGTTGATCGAAAAATATATGTGAAGAATAAAAAACAAATTCATTATTATATGTGAATATTATATTTTCTTTTCTCTTAGAAATATAAACAAGTTGAGAATATATTTTTGAATTTTTTGTGACTTTGCCAGAAAAGACGGCCCTTCTCGTTCAGGGCAATCTCTACAAAGATTTCAACATACTTCTCTTTATTTGATGGAATAGTTTTTACACAGCGAAGAAATTTTCGAATTCAAATGATATTTTAAATTAATTATCATTTTCATAATAAAAAAAGAAGATAGTAAAACAGAGCTTTTGTTTTACATAATTTTAATATGAAGCGTTTCATACATTATCAGTTATTTCAATAGTAACAATTGTTCTTATATCTTGTCGTTGATAATTAATGTCGGTACGAGACTTGAAGATACTTGGTTAAAAATTGAATAAATCGACAATGTAAGTTGTTAATAATACCCAATTTTCATCAGTTGATAGAGAAGTGTTGGGAACATAAGATACAGAAAAATTAGGGAATCGAAAGACAGACTGACCTATCTATCTTGAAGAAAAGACCAATACAATTTGCTAGTTCCCAACGTTTGCTTTTCAGTAATCGATTATTTTGTCGAAGTTGAATGATTATTAAAGTAATAAGACATTGTAATTTGTATCATAAACAATTTAAAAAAATGCAGAGTTCAATTCGCCGACGCGTTTTGTGTTTTTTATTTAAATACTTAACACTCATCAGGGCTCTGCATTACATGTTTAATGGCAAAAAAAAATGTAAAGAATGAAAATGGGAACGTCCGAAAAAAATTCAAATCAACATGAAAGAGGGTGTGGGTTTGGGTTTGGGTGTGGGTGTGGGTGTGGGTGTGGGTGGGGTGTGGGTGTGGATGTGAGGGTGGAGTGCGTGCGGGTGTGGGTGTGGGTGTAAGTAAAGAGAAGAATTATAACCCCTCCCACCCACATCCACACCCCACACCCACACACCCACACCCACACCCACACACCCACACCCACACCCACACACCCACACCCACACCCACACACCCACACCCACACACCCACACCCACACCCACACCCCAAAATCACTCGATGTTCGATAACAAACATTTCAATATATTAACATAAGAATGAATGAAAATATTGATTTGATCGGACACTTTATATTATTTGAGTTAGTATTAATAATTATAATTTTGATAAATCATTAACTTCATTACAAACTGTTGAGAGTATTATCGAATATTTAAATCTATTGATATTTTTTTTATGTAAGAAAGTTAGTTGTTATTAAATGACTCACCTTTTGATTGATATTCTAAATTTTCAAATAAAAATACTGCAAATATAACAAAATATTTATATATTCTACATGATCAAATTTCATATAAAAAAGTAAATGAAAACTATTTATCATTCAATAGTCGACTTTAGATTCGTTTTTTTACTAGTTATACATTTACTTCAAAAATTCTAGATAATCATATGAATCATAATTTTGAAAATTAAGGTGATTGTTGGGATACAGAAAGTTAGTCGACTATGATAATGAAATGTAAAAATATAACAAAAAAATATTTACTAATGAATATCATTAACATGAGTAATACAAGCATTGATTGCAAAAGAATATTATTTTTTTTAGGAGAATTGAATTCAACATCAAAAGGAATAGATTTATTAATTAATTTCTATTTATTTGTCGATGCAGTTTGTATGATTTTTCTTTTGAAATAAAAAAAATCATTAACGATCGGTTTTTTGTTCTTATTTTTCACAAAAGTTTAGAACTTTATAAAACTCAATAACAACTGTTTATGTTTGAATTGTATGCAACACATTTCGATAAAAACATTAAGCCTGTTAGTATTTATATTCGTATTTAAAGCAAAATTCAATATGCATAATATTTTTGTTTCTACCATCTTTGCCATAGCTCGATTCTGAGTGAGAAAAATTATGGAAGAACAATTGTCAATAATAAATAGTTTATTTACAACATGCTTCAAAGTTATTTTGCAATATATCCGTAAAATATTTTCGATTTTCTGTACGAAGTAAACCTTCTTGTAGTTATAGAACTTAATAAACACAATTCCATTAAAATTAGATGTTTTTGTTATATGGCTTCTGTGGTTTTTCATCCAATTTTCTATCAGCATCTTATATGTTTTTCATTTTCAGACCTCTTGGAGCCAATATAATTTTAAAGAGTAATCGAAAACATCAAGCTGCCACCGCCGTGAACAAAAGAAATACTTTTTTTGCAGCCGCTGCCAACCAACTGATTGGCTTACACGTTGACACATATTTGGCTCAATTTGATTGATTTTTGTACATCGACCACGTTTGCTTTCAGAAAGATATTGAAAATTTTCTCTCGTTGTCCTTTTCTTACAGTCAGTAGGCAGAAGAGAGCAATAAAAGAATGAATGAAGTATGACGATGACAGAAAATAAAAACCAGTAAGAGGATAAAAGAAAGGTTTGGCAATACATTTTTATACATAAAAGGTACAAAATGGTAATTTCTCTTTATTGAGAAATAGGGCTGACAGGGTTGCCGTTCTTTATGGATTCATCGGTAAAGAACATCTACGCAATTGATAAATCATTTTTGAACACGCTAGAATGTTTAGGTGTACCTTTTCTTCTATTTTGTAATAAGTCACTATTGGTTATTGGATTGCTAAGACTGGAAAGTCGAAACTAGAGTGTGAGTACGTATAGGCGTGGGTGTGTGTGGGTGGATATGACTGAAGAGAAGACTCAAACCTACATCCACACGCATACTTTGATTATAATCGATTACGCTTAATTTTAATTGACTCCTAATCCATTCATAATCGATTGGAAGCCCATAGTGTTAATCTATTTGTAATCAGAACGTAATCAATTACAATTTGGTTTTTTCCGTATTTCTTTGTCTACATAGGAAGCTAAGAAAAAATCTTACTCTGCAAGATTCTACCATACATTCACACCTTTAAGTTAAACCATAATATAAATATTCACTTTTCTATATGAAGCTTTGTCTTCCTTTGTTCGTTCTCGTTCGGCTCCGGCTGTTATAGCAAGCAGAAAGAAAGAATGATTTAAATCAACATTTGCTGTTGTATTTATGCAGTGACAATGAAAGCGGCCGACATTTTTACTACTGGAAGAAATACTCTGATTTTGTTCGGTAGTAAACAAGAATTAGTGTGGGTTTTTTTAATTAACGGTAAAAGAAACTACGTACAGCTTTTTTTCTTTCTTTCCAAGTCAATGTTTGCGTTCCATATGCTTATATCTGGGTTTTTACCCAATCGAGAGAAATGAGTAATCGATCGTCTTTAGAATAATAGTAGTATAAAAGCTGAAAGATTCACATGCAATTTCTCATTACATCCAACAGTGTCAGGCAAAATCACAAATGTAAGTAATGCGATAGATACCTTTCTCTTCACCAACTAAAAAATACTACTCGCTTACTGAAACATTTTTGTACATTATCTTCGCACAGCTTCAATCCTCTACTACACCTGACAGATATGCTCAGAAGCATATTCTCCTATGCTACTTCTTTGGTAAAATCACCGATTAATTATAGTTTATAGATATTGACGTTCTTTATCATTGCATTTGTGTCACAGTATTCTAAAATATATCAAGATCCTGTGGTCTTCTAAACGGTTTTTGATTCTCTCGCGAATAGGAATTTTTCATATAATCCTCATTATGATTTCTTCGGTAAATGTTGATAAAAATCTGTCAGTGCAACCCATATGAGCTTTAAATGTGAAACAGGATGTAGCTGGTGTTACTAATCGTGCGAATACTTTTGTCTTCAACACACCTTGGATGCTTTTATTTATCGTTTTCTACTTAATCCTCTAGAAGTGCCAGAACGAAGCAGTCGACATATTCTCACGATGATTCTAGTGATATATGATCGGGTGTAGGTATGAGAGTGGGCATGGGTATTGACATTCTTTTATCTCTATGATATAGTGACTGATGAAATTTTTCCATATAATCATCGTTTATACATATTGGAAATTTCCTAGTGTACTATGCTTTATTGTTACGTTATTTTGTAAGTCATATTGGAAAATTCCCTTTCCATTATGTATAGAATATATATACATCTAGATCTTCCATAGTTGTTTTGTTTTGGTTATTAGTTTAAAATAAACTACTATCTGTTTCAAAATATAGTGCGCGCCACTGTTTTTTAAATAACTCAAGAACGCAACAAGCTAGAGACCTGCGATTTCCACCAATCGATAGATGAGACAGGGGGACGTCTTTTTCTCAGATAATGTGTCAGGCGAAATCCTTTTAAAACTACTCATCTTTGAAAAACATGGAAAAGAATGTATGAAAATGATCTGTCATCCAGATCAAATTTTCAGTTTGACCTTTGATTTAGATAGAGGAACTTGAGATCTACAGTTCAAGATACAATGCAAATACTTTTCTTATTGCATTCTAACGTTGACCAAATGGAACCATGTATTTACATGCGCAAATAATAGGTAATGTTACTGATTTTTTACTATGTTTTTGCATTTTTATCATAATAGCTGGACATTTCGATGAAAACGTAAGGAAAAGTAAGAAAGTGCATTGTATCTTAAACTATAGATCTCAAGTTCCTCTATCTAAATCAAAGGTCAAACTGAAAATTTGATCTGGATGACAGGTCATTTTCATCCATTCTTTTCCATATTTTTCAAAGATGAGTAGTTTTAAAAGGATTTTGCCTGACACATTATCTGAGAAAAAGACGTCCCCCTGTCTCATCTATCGATTGGTGAAAACTGCAGGCCTCTAGCTCGTTGCGTTCTTGAGTTATTTAAAACACAGTGGAGCGCACTATATTTTGAAACGAATAGTAGATTCGTTTTCATTGCTTCTTCACAATCAGCAATGACACTAAGACGTCACAATCTCACACCTGTACCCACGTCAATACTAACAGCAACGTACACTCACATCCTATGCCCACATCTACACCCTAGAATCTTTAATTCTATATCGAATTCCGATATTATACGTAATGATAGCCTTTTATTTCTTTATTTAGACCAATTTCATAAATCAGTGAATTAAAAATGGCTTGTGCAACTAACAAGGAAACAGATTCATACCGAGATGATGTATCAAATATATCATCGATGTCAACAACAGGGACAGCTTCTACAGCTACATCGCCACCACCATATTCATCGTTGTTATTTTTGAATGCAGCTTCTGAAGTAGTCGAACAAATAATTAACTATTTAGAATTGGAAGACAATGATAAGAAAGATGAAATTATTTCAGATTTATTAACAAATGGCCGTCAAGCTCTGTACAAACATCAAAAAGACATAATTCCGGAATTACTGTCACAAGAAAAAGAGTATAAAGTAGAAGATGGAAGCTCACTATTAAAAATAATTAAACAATATATTACTGAAACTTGGGAAAGATTGTTAGTTAATCAACCAACAATCATTTCATTTATCAGTGACACAAAAAAAGAAAATTCTATTCATTTTGATAATGTATTAACCAGAATAGCAGAATATGGTTCAAATCATGCAAATGCATCGTTTATTTTATCGTTCGTCTTACAATTATTATCCGAAAGTATTGATGATGAATGTTTTTTGAAAACAAATACATACAAAGAGTTGTGGAATTCAATTACAATTCAAGGTATTCAGGGTATTAAAACAGCTTCGCGACATGTTCCTGCAGAAGAATTAGAGCAACATATTAATAACAAAAAGTCACCTGTGTATTTGGCATTACGAATGTATTATGAAGAAGAAATAAAAATCTTATTTGGAAAACTTAAAATTCCAAACAGAAAAAATACATTATATGATTTAGCATCTGATACCATCACAGAAAATGGATGGTTACAAGGTATTCAATCAATCAAAGCGAAGATAACTGAAACACATTATGATATGTTAACGAAATCAATAGAATCGCGTATTCAAAACCAATATTCAACTGTATCTGATCAAGGTAAGTATTAAAGCTACAAAAACGAGTTGATTTAATTTTTTAGGCTTTTACTTAAAATAATTTTTTGTGTCAATCGCCATGATCACTTGAACTGAAGTCATCTGTTACCAAATTTTCCAATAAAAGATGTGTTCATATAGATGTTCGTTATAGTCAAAAAATTCCATTTTTGCAAGTTCTATCAACTATTTCAAATACAGCTCTGTGATTTCATTGTGACTTAACTGAAGTAATCAAAATATTTTTTTAAGTACAGCAACAGAAAAAAGTTCTCAGCTCTATAGATTTTACAACAGAGATTCTGAAATATTTGATTATCAGTTCAATAAACGAATATAGGCGAGGGATTATGATTGAGATAGTAGTCTAAGTGTCTTTCAAGAAACGTGTTGCCAAGAACCTTAGTTTATAGAAGTGTGAAAGACCAACAAAAACCATTTCACGAAGAGCGATATTTGTAATACAAACTTCAAAATGTTTATTGCTCGGATCTTTCATATTGCTCATCTTAATTTGTTTTGATTTCATATTAATTATGTCAACTTAGAAAGTTGTTTAACATGAGAGAATCTGAGTATTGTTAGATTTATATTCTTTATAATGAAATCATTGTAGTTCCCACCATACAAAATACTGGTGCGTGTAATGTTAGTGTGGCACCAGTCAACGAAATATTATCGAGTGGATTATTGAATTCAAATCAGAACGTAGCAAATACAAATTTCGAGCATTCTATGGATACAACACATAATCATCCAATAGCTACTATACAAAATGATCCTGCAACTGTAACAACTAATACATCGGTTAATGCAGTCACTAATTTGTCGTCATTGGAGGAAATTGAGAATAAAACATCATCCCAGAAAACAATAGAAACAATAATGGCGAAAACCAATGATTTTAATGAGGAAATTGATATCATTATGAAATGTAAAAAACAAAATTATTTGACCTTAGAAAATTTAGTTGAAGCTGGTGAATTAATTTATGTTAATAAAACTTTAAAAGAGATTTCCAATGATTTTATTCATAGCATAAATAAAGATAAACCAAATTTAGCTAAGTTTATCGAAGAATGTCAAATTCCAATTATGTTTCTTCTCAAACGACAACAAAATTTAGATGATTTTATTTCAATATTAACAAATATTTTCGAAGATGCTAAAAGTGATCAATCACTTTCAACTGGATTTAAATTAAATTTACGTCGATTTTTACATATTCTATTATTGAATAGTGATACATTTTTAAGTCGTATTATTATGTCATTAATAAGTAAACGAAATCCTGTACCATTTGTTGAACCAAATATTAAATTTTGGAATATGAATGATGGTAATAATATAGCCAAATATGAATTTATTTCCTCTATAATTCATATTTGGGATCATACACGACCCACAATATTATCGTTCGGAATCGGTAATGATTGCCAAGGTAAATCAACATTATTAAATGTTTTATTTCAATCTACATTTGAACAAAGTGAAAGAAGTATTTATTTTCAAGAAACAATTGATATTGATTTTGGTTATTCATTTAATCCCGAACGACAACTAAATATAGCTGATTGTCATGGTGAAATGAGTATTGAATTATTAACTAAAATACGTCCTTTGTTTGATGGATATTTAATTCATATTAATAAGATGTATTTGGAAAAATATCCGAAAACAGTTATTGAATATTTACAATTAATACCAAGAAATAAATTTTATTTCATTTTTGTTCGTGATATTAATCATTCTTCTAATGCATCTGAAATACAAAATCAATGTCAAAAATTAATTGATTCATCTGATTCGATAAATACTCGTCGATTATCAATCTGTCCATTAATTAACATGTCAAATACAACTGACAGAGAAATACAGCGCATTCTACAACGTCTACGCAATCAAATACTTAAATCAGTTGATGATCAAAAAGAGAATCTTGTTGACAATGAAATATTTCAAAATTGCATCGAGAAACTGTTAAATAAAAATTATATTTCGTATTTGCATGAAACTGATAACATCATTCAACCATTAAAAAAACGTTTATTAAGCAAAAACTCAGACGATCCTGATCAAAATAATTTTCCATTATATTTGAAATTCATAAAATTATGTGAATTACGTCAAGAATTGAAAAAAATTGATTTCTATGGATCTAAAGGTGAAAACAAATTTGATATAAATAATTCAATATGTCTGTTAGAAAATCAATCATCACCCGATTATGATACAGTTGGATATGTTTTTCAAAATTTTATTCAAATATTAGGAAGTGATCATATGTTAATGAGTCTTAATTTGTTATCATCGGAATTGAGACAAATATCATTAAATCAAGGTGGTGATAAATTAGCAAATAATCTGTCTGTTGCAAGATCATTTCTTTCATTAGAAGTCATCTGGCGAAATGCAATTGTCTGTTATAAGCATGCTTCCTCATCTGACCAAAATAAGATATTACGATGTTACATCGAATACATTAAAGCGGGATTTCCATTTGAAATAATTGATGGAGATCATTTTTATTTTCAGCATGAATTTCTAAGCGAAGTGATGAAAAGCTTTGAGAAAACGCGTATTTTGGTAATTAGTATTATTGGTCCACAAAACAGCGGTAAAAGTACATTATTAAATTATATGTTTGGTACCTTATTTGAAGTACGAGAGGGCCGTTGTACACGAGGTATTTATGGCTCCTTTGTTAAATGCAATAGTATTCCAGGTATTGATTACATTCTGCTGATAGATACTGAAGGTCTTTTGTCTATTGAAAAATCTGATAAAGAATATGATCGACGTTTGGTTTTATTTTCTTTGGCAATTTCGCATTTAATGATTGTTAATATGTTAGGAGATGTTAATGAAACACTAAAAGATATGTTAACACTTTGTACAGATTCATTGAAACAGTTGAATGTTGGTAAAGTACCGAAGCCAACAGTACATTTTGTTCTCAATCAGAAAGCAGATCCTAACATCAAAAATCATTTGGAGGCTATAAATAAGATCGTTTCCGACTTGAAAGATCAAGATTTGGCGGAAACAATTTCTATTGGAACGGATACGTTTCATACATTACCATCAGCTTTCAAAAGAGAACGTCTGTCAAACGATACAAGCGGTCCATGTCTACTTCGAACAGAGCCAGATTTTATTGAACTGACACAGAAACTGGTTTTGAAAATCATTCGATCTGCAAAAGAGTGCTATGATCGAGGTGAAACTTCAAATTTTACTCCACGGTATGTTGTATTTTTATACCTTTTCATTGCTTTGTTAAGAAGAAATCTATCAAATCTACGCATGATTTCTTAGATGAGGATTCGAAATTTACTCAGAAGAATTCGCTTCTAGAGGGAGTTAAGTGGGTGTGACTTCAAGAAAAGTAACATCCACACTCACAGATGCAATGCCGGCTTACTTGAATTCAAACAAATAGAAACATAAAATGAGATACCATCCACCTAAGGAGTAGAGGAAAATGCAATCACAACAGCACTGACCAATAAACTCAAAAATCATGTCGCTACACAATGATTTTTCTTGTTCTTTTCCTCTGTAAACATGCAGAAAAAAAATACTGCAAAGTACACCACCAATCGTAAGTACTATGACGGATATGTCATGAAATGTGATAGTTCCGTTTCAATCAACATAGCATCATCATAGAAGCCATAATAGCACATAGTATTTCCATTGAACATATTATGACTTACATCTCAAAATCTTGGAAAAGAGAAGTACCGAAGATATTGGATATGCAAGATCGTCTTCGCAAATGTGAAGGAACAATTTGACTCTGACGAAATTGACTGAATCCAATATCTGAAGAGGTTTTGACAGCTCGTTACCTTAAAGATGTGAATTTCACCTGTATATTTTTCTACGATAGTCTATTTCTTTCATTTACTAATACGTTTTTTATTCTTACTTGCCACAATATCTTCGAGTTCTCAATATATTTCTGTGTATTCAGTTCTATTTGAAATTTTTTTGTAAGAGTTTCGTGATTATAAGACAATACTGCACCATGATTCCGTAAAATATAAGAGACGCTGACGGTCGAGCTCCAATATTTTGGATGAAAACAAAGGCTCATTCAGTCAACCGATACTCAATTCGATTTCTCATATACATTGTCTTACTGTTTACTTCATGAAATCAAACATTTTGTTAGTGCATCTGGTGCAGCTCGTTAAGTTCTGTCTAGTTCCATCAATGATAATACCTGACTCGACCAAGAAGGAACTCCTACGAGAAGCTCGAATCCTGGCCTAACATATCCCACTAACCAAATTTTGTTTGAATTGACAGTGATAAAAGTATAGTTTTCACACTTGAGTATCTAGCTTGCGGATATTCAATAATTAAACTCAAACAGCTGATCTAAGTAATATTAATTTTCTTTTATGGACTGCATTTTTTACTTTCTTTAGGCAATGGTTAACTACATCAACTACAATATTTGCAATGTTGCAAAGATTTCCAGATTTGACATATTTTAAAGACATCAACGAAAAGCATCAGGATGACAAAATACGTAAACAGATAGAACAACTTCTATCGAAGACTCTTTCGTCAACCGACCGACAAAAATTGATAGAAGAGCATTCCGATAAAAATGAGCAAGATATCAAAGGGTCTTTCCAATCAAAATTTCAAGACCATCAACAGAATCTTAGAGAAGAGTTGGAAAATATATTCTTACTGGAAAATGCATCTGAACGTATTCGTGATCGTTGTCAACAGTTTCTAGAACGGCAAGTAAACGAAATACTGAATGCATGGTGCACTGCTGCAGTTCAAGCATCCGACCAAAAGCAAATGGGATTACTTGTTCGTGATGGCGCTGCAGATTTAAAAAAATTGATTGATGCTATAATAGAAAAAGGTGAAACAATAACTAAATCTGAAGCAACTATTCGATTTGAGAATATGTGGGATGAAAAAGTAAAATTTATAAAAGCAAAATTCATTCCAGAAGAACGATTGAAACAAGCAATTAAATTTGTTTATGGAAATTATAATATTTTTGAACGAATTTCATTACCAGGAGTGGACTACTTTCTAATGGAAAAATTACCGATAATCAAACAATTAATAGAACCACAATCTTTATTAGATTTGAAAAGCATGTTGAGGATTCACTTTAGTAATGACGTGATGCGACTTCAAGAACGTGTCATATCAAAACCTAATGATTCTAACTCTACATTATCAACAATTGAAAATTTTACTTTTCTGCACAAACAAATTTTATATGATAAATCATATTCGATGATCGAAGAACAAATTCGCTGGAACACCACTACTGATGAACACAAACGAAATCTGCTCCAACGAAGTTTCGACAAATTTAAAAAATGGTTAAGTGGGAACAAATCTAACACAGGCGAAACAGAACCAGTGAATATTCATGTGAAACAAAATATGAGACAAATAATCATGTCCGAAATAAAAGAAGATCCGTTTCATCAAACTAATACTCTACAATTGACAGTATTTTTTGACAAGATCTATACACAATTATTCAATTTGATATATGATCAAAATATTATGCGTCCTGTTGAAATTGATATAATACAAAAAATTGTTGGTGTTATCAATGCTATTATCAAAGAAATTAATCTTGAATTATCCGTCTTTGAATTATCTCTATCGAAAAATATATCGTCTGCAATACATTCGAATGTCGTACTTTTGTTAACAGTTTTACATTTTAACGAGCAAAAATGTCATTTTGATAACCAACTTCAAACACTAGAACACAAGAAGCCGGGATTGTTGAATTTTTTTCATAGTATGGTGGTACCCAACGCTTCCACTGATACAGAAGGTGGAGAGATTTTTGTCAACCAATTTCTTCAAACAATAACAGAAGTGTTAACTGACAAGGCATATCAAATTATTGCAAGTACTGTTCAAACACAGCAAAATTTGACTAGAAAAGAGTTACAAATGATATGTGATGGAAAATTACAAACAGCCAATGAAAATTGGATATTAAAATATATTAAAAAACCGACTGATATTATTGTTGAAGAGTTTAAAATAAAATGGACTGATATTGAAAAAGTAATTGAACAACAAATATGTGCAGAGAAAAGTCGCTTGCAAAAATTACTTTATGACTTCTTTGAAATTATTAGACCTATGTCAACTGCTTTAACAGGTAAAGGAGGAGCATTACAATTTATTCACGATTTATTCACATCATCTGCTGGTGATGCTGATGAAAATTTGAAGAATAAAGGTCAATGTATGATGTTATTATTCTATGCATATCTAACCAATGAAAAAATTGAATTACAAAAGTCATATACAGTATTTAATTCCACTTACACTATAACGCCCAAAGGTGTTCAATTTTTTCAAAATTTATTACATCCTAATGCATCATTAGCGAAACTGATTGCTCAAATGAAAACAAAATCAACAGTTACATCAATTAAAAGTTTTCATCAATTTTTGGAAAGTATATTAAAAGTTGAACAAAAAGCACATGAACGCTACAATAAATTGTCAACTGCATTTGCATCATATGATAAAGATAAAGTCTACATTAGATTACTAGATAAGGCGCGGGGATGCACTGCAACATGTATGTTTTAGCCATCACAGTGGCGATACTTATTGTTGAGACTGTAGAATATCATTGTTTCTTTTCTCTTTCGAAGGCCCATGCTGTCAACGTCCTTGTGATGCTGATCATAAGACTTTATCAAATCCAGGTATGCTAAAATTAAATAAATACATACTACGCTGCTTAAAATATATAATCTGTTTTTGAGACGTTCATTAGTTGATATTTCACTTGACAATGCGTTGCGTCCTACGACTCAAATTTTTCCTGTGACATTTCTTGTGAAATATTGTATTCTCACAAGAGAAGTACAACCTCATTCAGTCACATTAATGTATTAAATTGAAATAAACTGATATTTTTAATGGGCTATATTTATCATCTATAAGTGCCTTTACTTGATTCTTTCATACTTTGTAATTAGAGAAGATGACGAATCGTTGACCAAAAGAAACTGGAAAAAAAGCCATTGTATTCAATCAGCGAAAATTATTCAGCAGCAACTGCAAATTAAAAGAAACACGTAGAAGAAATTCCATTATTCAGAAGAAATTAGATAATCAGACAAAAGACAAAAGCTTGCTGGCTACTGGCCAATTTAGAAGAGGTTCTGATTGGGTGTAGTATTACTAGAATTTCTTTAAAAAACTGAGGACTTTATTATGATAAATAAGACGATTTACAGATGTCCCGAAGGAAGGCAGCACATAGATGATCATGCGCTTTCACATTAATATGTGCACAAGCCTATGCCTCTTCGAAGCTTGAAGCAAGTGAGACAGCTAGGTTCAACAAGAACTGTCATGAAAGCAAAGTGTTGACTCATTGCCATTATAACAGAGAATTCTTTTTAAAAGAACTACTGTATGGATTGATACGAACGAGTATGCACTAACGAGAAAGTACAATTTTACCAAGTCTGAATTGTTGAAAAGTTAGATTCTTCTTTTAGCTAAAATTTCAATTGTCTCAATGTAAAAGTTAAACAAATGTATGTAAACTTTTGTTTCAGAAAAGAATTCAAAGAATGAAAATGAAATGTTACGCATTGTATTCATTTTCGTTATGCTGTTACTACTGCTATACTTTCACAACATATTTATTTGTATATGCGAACTTGTACTGTCATCTTTCTTAAAAGCAGCATACTCAGGTATTCAGAAGCACTTTGTAGAGTTTTACAGAAGACAATTGATTTTGTGGAATATCTGACGATGATGTTTGAGGGGTTACTTTGCTCTCAGTTTTATTCTGGTTCGCAATGTATATAAAAATCGCTATAAACTTTTACGGAAAAACTAAACTTTGATATTTTGTGTAAACATAATTCGTTCGATAGAGTGCACATAACTACATTTAGAAATGTTGCTTTCTTATTTGGTAATCCGGTTTTCTTTGAGGGTATGTTTCAAGGCAAGACACTCTGTAGTTGCCAGAACTTGTATCTGATACCATTTAAATATATTATAGCAAAATCTGGACAGTCATATAGAAGATCGATTTAGTTCTGGCAATGACACAAGCGAATTCTAAACTAATAAACTTATATTTACATAGATAAGTTATATACTTCATCTAAATATGATTTCTATTTTCTCAGTAAGAACTTCAACGAATAAGAAAAAGCAGTATCACAAATATAATGGCAAAATTTTTTCCAACAAATTGATAGTCAATAGTAATGCAAATAGGATATTTCATCGGATGTAGAAGTGTATATTGTATCCTGACTATGTAACTCTTTCTCGATACTATTGCATGGTTGAAAATAACATTATTCATTTCGACACGTTTTTCTTCAAATTTTTCATTACAAACATAAATGAATTTCGATGTGTTTTTCATTATTTATATTTATTTTAATGTTATCTACTTGTTTTTATCGTTTTTTTTCTTTCATAGGCGACGAAGATAATAAACATAGTTGTAGCACAGGTCATCAATTACGAGCATTTACCGGTATTAAACTTGAAGTTAAAAATGAAGCTAGTTTATATCAATGTAATGAGATTAATGACAATGATTTTATTATTGTCAAAGGCAGAAGAATGAGATGGAGTGAAATGAAATTACTTTATCCAGAATGGGATTTCAACCTAGTGACCGCGGCTGATAATGTAACCGAACTTAAAAGCAAATTTCTCTATGTATGGTCAAGAATTGGAAAAAAGTTTTGTGACCAATTTGATATGGCTTATGTGACAATGAATACGCCAAAAGGTCTATCAGAATCTTTTCATTATATCTTATTGTTGGATAGTTCTGGCTCCATGCATGGTAACAGATGGTCAAATTTATTAGCTGGAGTTAATGAGTTGATTACAGCACGTAAAAACAATGGTACTGATGATTGTGTTACGATCATAATATTTAGTGACAAAGCGAATTGTTTTTGTGTTAAGAAATCAATGAAAGATGTTGATACAAAAAAAATACAATTTACTGGTGGTAACACAGACTTAGGTCCACCATTTGACTTAGTATTGAAAACACTAGAAAGCAATACGACAGAGAAAACAATTTTAAAATCTATTATTGTATTTATGAGTGATGGTGAAGCGTTGTATCCAGAAAAACAATTAAATAGTTTGGCAACCAAAGCAGATACTCAAATTAAAGAGTTTTGGACTGTAGCTTTAGGTGAAAACAAAATGGATGTCTTAGAAAAAATCAGTCAAAAANCTTATTCTAATTATATTATGCGTAATTTTTAATATATCAGAAGAGCAGTTTAATATCACTAATAAATTCGATTCTAGTTTAACTACGTTTATAATTCATTTGAAAACAATAATAGAATATTTTTCTTTACAACTAATCAATTTCAAACCATATTCAATATTTCTATGGAATATTCTAATACTTATGATTCGATTCAATTGGATAACTATATTCATTATTATAAATGAAACGTTACTATATCATGGATATTTGCCAAATTATATTAGACAATATGAATTTGTTAAACAAAATATACAAGATTGGTGCATAACCCATAAAATAAGACGTCCAGTTCATTCTTTAATTACTCTTGCAAGACCATTTTCATTAGACCTATCTATATATTGTTCTATCACTACTCTAAAAGCAATGTTTTGTCCATTGTGGACACCATTTGTATTTATTATTCGATATAATTGGCTTGTTTTATTTTTAATTCTCGATGGAATTTTAATCAAATACAAATATTTTCCAAATGTTGCTAGAAAATATCGAGAAATAAAACTAAATATTGATCATTTTCTTTCAAATAAATCCAATTCAAAATATCCAATAATAAAAGAACGATTATATTATTGGTATAGATATGATAATTTTAAAAATAGAATGATTATTTTTTCAATATTAATTATTCCACTCGTCATTGAAATAGCCTTTCTTTTTCTTATTCCAATATCAAAATTATTTTTATTTTTTTCATGGAAATTAATAATACTTGTAATACGTTATTTTTGGCTTATTTTAATGATTATGATGAATGAGTTGATTTTTGTTGAATATAATTATTTTTCAAATTATATTAGACTATATAATTCTATAAAACAGAAAATAATTAACTGGCACGAAGATAAAATCGTTCGGCATGTAGTTATTCTTATTTCTATTTTTGGTGGTCCATTTATATTAGAAATGTGTTTCATTCGATTGGCGCCAATAATGAACTTATTGGTATTTCTCCTATGGAATCTATTCCTGTTTTTGATTCGTTATTGTTGGTTGATATTAATACTAATTATTAATCAAATTTTCGAAGAAAATGAAATATTTCAAAATTATATTTCAAAATCTATAATAAATATAATACAACAAATCGGTCGCTGGAGTGACAATAATAAATTAAAAATTGGACTAGTCATATTTTCAACTATAACTGGCCCATTTCTATTAGAAATATTTCTATTTTATGGTTTTAATGCTCTAGTAATAATAATGATTTTCGTTTTGAAAAAATCATTGTTTTACTTAGTAAGCATATTTGTTTTCTATTGTTTATATCGTTTGATTCATCAATGATTAAGCAAATCAAAATAAAAAAACAGCAAAAAGGTCAGGTTTAAATCAATTGTTCTCAATCAAAGAATAAATTGATTATACCTCGTCACAAAAGCAATGATTTAATTAAGTTTATCTTCAAATCAGATTCCAATCGATTTATCGGAAAATTTTTCAGTTGTATGACATGAAATGTTAATCATATTTTGTTTTGTCTGCGTTTTTCTATGTCTAGCTAGTACATTATATCCCTATGCTTTTCAACATGAATAAACTTTTAAAAAAATATGATATAAACATGTTCAAAAATTATTCTTTACTGTGTGTGTACTTTAAGGTAAGTTCCACGCACGACTATCACATCCATGCCACATTCAGAATCCTGCTCTTAAATCGAGATCGAAATGAAATAGTTCATGATAAGAATATCGGTTAGACTATGAGATTTATCCGAAAAGAACTTTTCTGGCTATACTCAGTCGAATGTCGATTGTGTTTTTTAAATGTGATTTCACAACAAAAACTAGAAATAGGACGTTGTTTCTCATTGGCATTCTTTTGAATTCATTTTAATGACGGCTGTCTTCGGGTTTTTACTCAACAACATTTCACAGTCAGATTCGCTTAATACTTCACATATTAAAGATGAGAAAGAACAAAAGTATAGCGTCACAGCAATCATTAAAGAACTATAGAAATCGGAACATTTCCACAAAATACAATCTTTTTTCAGTAATTTTTCGTAAAAAAAAATTAAAAAAATTTACATGGCATAATCGATCTTATCAACTTCAGCACTTACATTTAATACAAAATAAAAAGCAATTTTACACCCTCATTACACTTGAAAAACATCATTTTGATACCTTGTATCTATATCTCATCATTCTTGATAGACGATCGATTCCTTTTTCCTTTAACAATGCCCATCTATACATATTTGATTTTCACGGATTGTTCATCATCAAACACAGGTAAGCTGGATAGAACACATATGATGAAAACAGACAAGTAATAGATGACTATTACTTGATAGGTTTTCATTTCGACGATATATGTATGATTGATGATAAATGAGTTTTAGTTACGTTTACTGATGTTCTGTGACACTTTCATTAGTCTAGTACTGCTGACATTCAGTACTAGTGTTACGGGACAGTGTAATGACCTTCAACTCTTATATCCTCACTCATTCATTCTCTCAATCAATATTTCTTACCATCCGTTGTTACTGAATTGTATTGCAAAATGATGATCCATGATGCTCAGTTGTTGTTGGTTCTGATACAGATCGGCTTCTATTTAGAATTTGCAAGGATCTTGGCATACCGAGCATCGTAACTGACAATTTATACAACAAAATACATTTGAATGAAGTGTAGGTGAATTAGCATATGGCAAATAACGGAATAGAATCGGCAAAAAATGTAATACATATTGAGTCAATGTGGTGTTTGGTAATAGACATTTTGGTTTTTTCTTTCCTTATTCGTTCTGTCTTTTTTTATTCATTCCTTTCGATATACTCTTTCTATTGATTCATGATATTATTATGGGTTAAATCCGTTTATAAGCAATTTGTCATGACAGTGAACGAATGAATCAAACAAAATAGTGACGTCATTTTAATATTCGGTGATTATTTTCATTGTTTTTTCAAACGGAAAATTGGTTCCTTTTTTTGTATATAATGATGTAAAAGCTCACATTCTGATTTTATTTCGATAAGTACAATACATTATCATATCGAGAAAATACACCAAGGTACGTGCACAAAAGATATAAAAAGATGTTTTACATTATCACTGACTTAAATTTTATTTCCAATTACTTAAAATAAACTTTAATGTATTGTTTTGAATGAAATCTAAAAGTTATAAATAGATGAAATATGTTTTCAAAGAATCTTCTAACGACTAACTCTTCTTTTTGTAGAAAAACATATTGAATAATATCACATAAAATTCCTCAAGTGCGCCTGTACTTCATCTGCCATGCAGAATCAGAAATCAGTTCTGCTTCCACGCATATTGGTAGTCAAAGTATTTCTTGCGAGTTAAGTCCATTAGGAAACCAGCAAGCAGTTTTATTAGGTAGAGTCTCATTAAATAGATATTTATTTTTTTGTTATCTTTTGTTTCTTGTGCAATATAGGCAAACGTTTAAAATATCAAAATATTAAATTTGATTATAATCTATGTTCAACAGCTATTCGTAGAAAAAAAAACGGGAGAGATCGTATTGAAAACTATGAACATTGATACATCAAAATTAATAATTTCCAGCAAACTTTTAGAACAATCTCAAGGTACTTAGGAAGGTATGAGTCGAGCATTGATTTTTACACCAGAGACTATACAACAAATGGACGAATTACACTTTGAATTCCGGTCTCAAAATGGTGAATCAAAACGAATAGTGCAAAAACGCACTCTAGCTTTTTTTGAGCCTACTATTGAACAAGCAAAAGCTCAAAGTACGACAGAAAGTCAAGAAATATTAATTGCTATTTTTTGCACATGCAAATTTAATACGATCTGTATTACAGTATTATTTGTCAACTAATCCGAAACATGCATGGCTGATTGAACAAAATAGTACAGCGATTAATGAAATTGTATTGAATGAACATGGAATTTCTGTAATGAAAGTAGATGATGATAGTCATTTGATATTTTCAATTCCAGAAATGCAAAGTGAACCATTAGAAAATAATGATCATGAACAGATAAATAGTTAAATGTTTTTTGTGACAATTTGAATAAATCAAAAAAAAATATAAATATATCTTTTTTGTTTGAAAATGTTATTGTTGATACACAATACGAAAAATAATCAAATACTTTTAATAAGAATTTCATAATAATAAATGGTGGTAGGTATACTTTGATATCGTCTGTTGCGTAGTGAATTGAAGAAATCTAGGAATGAATATGCCTATGACGAGTATCCCAAACTTAGAGGTAAAATGAATATTGTTTAACATTCGTATTTTCTTTACATCGTAGAGAAGTTTCAATTATCTATTTACTGTAGGGAGTAGAAACTTTATTTGGTTTTCTGAAATTCATTTATGAAAAACGTGATACAATCTTGATTTTTTTTTGTAAAGATGTATCGTCAAAAGCTCGACAACAGTTATAATAGCAAACCCCTATTGATTCGTGCTAATAATTATTTCCATATTCAGAAAAAACATACATAATAGTGCTACTTCACACTATATGGTGCATAATAAAAATGTACGGAAGCCTTGTTTGTTTTGTTTATAACTCAACACAAACAAGTCATAAAATTTCAGTTGAGTGAGTGTATGAATGTAGGGTCTGGAAGTAAGAATGGCTGAGGAGGAGAACCACGCCTACACCCAACTTTGCTTACTTTTTAATTCAATCTTCTACGAATAGGTTAGTAGTAATGATAGTAATCGAACCATGAATTGTTCTTCAGTTTTATGGCTCACCTACTTTGTTTTTCTGCTTAAGACAAGTAAGAAAGAAAATGAAGTTGGCAAAAAGAAGAAAAAGAGGAAATAGAAAAGGGCCCGCTGCGCTGCAGACTTCGGCTGTTGAATTTAGGTAACGGTAGGGTGTGGTGTGTAAATGCAGTTGTGTGCATAGGTGTATAATATTTATGCCGCTGACGAAAATGTCAGTGGGCATAAGTGTGACTGTGTCAGTTCTGGTGAATGTTTTAAGAACATAGAAAGGCAGTTGATATGCGGCACAGTGACTCGTCCATCTCTGATCCTAACCTTCGGATACTCTTTGAAAGCCATGACATTAAATCGCAATCTATTTTGATATTTTGAAAAAACATATCGATCAAAATTCATCAGAAAAAAGTTGTTTTATTTCATTATTTTACTGTAATTTGGATCATTGCTGGTAAAAAGTGACTTTGTTATATGAGACAATATTACTGTTACATTAAAAACAAAATAATTGAGACAGTGTCTTGCAGAACAAGTTTCTCGGTGATGACGCATTGACGCAAATCGTACGTTATCGGACATTTGAGACACTACTTTTTCGATTCTAAAGCGTTGGTTAAAGCACTACTCTTAATACTTTTATTTTGAATAAAAGCTTTTTCTTCTACATTCACTACTTCCTTCACATTTCTTTACTTCTCCGACATTGACAACAATGAAAACCTTAAGGCAACAGTTTGACGAACGCATGTCAAACTAGTTGTGTAGTCGAGTATGGTTCGTTTTGCAATAATACGGCTATCAAAATGTTGCAATATTTCTGTTTTGAGAAATCTATATTCATCATTTCTGAAGCACCTAACTATTTGATCTAAGCGAAACGTTTAGCAATAAGCATCAAATCAATGAACCTGGAAAGCTTGTATAAAGAGACCATCTCTTTTCAATAAACGATTCAAAATCTACAACATCGTTGGCTCAAGCTTTTGATTGTTATACATAACTCAAGATACGAACTGCTACTACTAATATTTCTGCAGCTTCATTTGGACGCACCATGTCGCTTCTGAACTGTGCTCACGGAGAAAAATACATGAAAAAAACGAGCTTCTAAAATCTTTTTTAGTTCTTTTATTGTCGAATTGAACGAATAAATAATAAAATTGAAGCCTTTTGGAAATAGCAACATCAAACTTTCAGTTACCACAACAACGCCTTTTTGTAAAGCAGAAAGCGAAAATTTTTACAACCTAAAATCTGTATCTTTATTTCGTTACGATCAGAATAAAAAAAGATAGCAATGCCAGCTATAATAATTGACGTCAAAAAGAGATCGATTTACAACATTACCCGAGGCATTCTCAAAAAACAAGTTTTCGGTTTCCAAAAAGCAAATAGGTCAATGCTTATCAAATTGATGAGGCTTGATTTTTCAAATCAGTGTTCGAGGTTATATGAGAACAATGTATAATTCTAAGTTGAAAAACCAACAAAGAAAGAAAATAAAACTATTTGAAAACTACCAGCATTTTTCAAAAGTTTGAATGAGTGCATTTTTAGGATGTTTCAATTCAAATACAGTATCTGAAAAGGTTGAAACTAACATATTCTTACTCAGCTTCACATTTATTCCACCATGGAATTTAATTTATTCATAAGTCTCGTTGAAGACTAAAAATTTTGAAAGTTTACTCTAAAATATCTTGCTACATATTCCAACTTCTGTAAGATCATAAACACCACTTACTGTTTCTGTGTAATCTACTGACAGCAGAGTGCACGTTTGAATATCATTCATCACTATGAAACGTCTGCTCTTATGTAACAGACGTAAATAAAATGTAAATAGCTGCAAGCGATTATCCAAAGCAAATTGGATATTTTTCTTATACTCCTGTCCACTTCATTCTGCTGGATTTTTGTAACTGGGAGGGATATATACATAAATATGAATCTCATATTTTAGTTGCAAACGTTTTATCAATGCTGACAGATTGTTTGCTTTCAATCAAAGAGAAATGTTTGAGATGGCAAATAATGAAATACTCATTGCCAAGTGGATATAAACATTCCATTTTTGCGTAAGAAAATACCAGAGTATGTACTACTGGCAAAATAATAATTAAAATGTGCAATAGATAAAAATCATTATTTGATCGCATAACAAGATTATGGATCCTATTAAAATATATCAAAAAGATTTGTTTCTCTAAACTTTAGTCGAAATAAAAAAGATTAAAGGGTGAATATGTCGAACAGCAAAAATGTCGAAAAACTTGGAGGGTAAAAACCAAAATTATTCAAAGATATTCGTTCGAAAAATTGTTGATAAGGATATCAGTAGCCAACTATAAGAGCTGGATTGTGCTCTGGCAAATTTGTAATTGGTTTAATACGTCACTTGTCGTACAGTACAGTGAGATAGATAGTAATCACCCACACCCCATTGTTTTGTTAATTTTCAAAATCGTAAAAGAAAACGTTTCAGTTTTAGCTGCAACCGAGAAGAATTTCATACAGGTCCGATTAATTTTTCAAAAGCCATGGATATAATACCGAATGTGGTTTTTAAGCATTCACCGTCCATAATTCAAGGACTATCGACTGTCAAAGTTTCCGAATTCTCCAATTAAACATTCTGAATTAGTCCATTTTCGCCGAATTGTTTTTTCGCCGACGACGATTTTCGCCGAATTCCAACTTCTCCGAAAGAATTTTTTGCTCATTTAATGACCCTGAACCACACCCACACCTACACACGCACTCACACGTATACCTACACCCACATGTGCACTCATTCCAATGTCTCCGTCAGCGAAAAATTCTTTCGGTGAAGTTGGAATTCGGCGAAAATCGTCGTCGGCGAAAAAAAAATCGGCGAAAATGGAAATTACCGATATGAAGAACAGCAGAGTGTGGGTGTAAATATCCTTGTCATCCATCGATACCTTACATCCAACAACGCCCTAGTGCGCTTCTGTGCTTCATTATATATCCTTATTTGCATTTTCAAATTGAATCTTTGCTTAGAATTTGGCGTTCACAGCAGAATTTTGGCAGAATTCCGGTATCCAAGTAGAAGGTGTGGGAATGAGTGTGGATGTGTGCATTTGGGTGTGGGTGTCAGGTCTCGGTGGATGACAAGGATATTTACATCAACAGGCACACCCAGGCCCTGGAAATGAGCGAAAAAAGAGTGTTTAAGCGTACATTGAGAGCATGCAACACTTGAAGAAGATGAACAGCCGAGAGAAACTCGAATAGCCCAAGTAAGAATTCATTGGACGATGATTCCAAATTCATTTATATTTTTTCGAGAGTTATTGTATCCGACATAATTGGAGATCAAACGAAATGAAAGAAATGACGGATGCCAGGGTGTGGGTGGAGATGGGTGTCTTCTCTTCATCCTCACTCCCACAAGCACACCCATCTCCAAACCCAACACCCGCCCACACCCATAGCCACATTCAAAGTTACTGAGTAGTTTATAGAAGAGAACAGTTTCACCTGAATATTAAATTATACTTTGTACTTTTAAGATTATAGCGCCATAAATACTATGATAAATATAACGAAGAAAAAAAAACCATTAGGAATAGACAAAAAAAAGGAAACTTCAGTCAACAAACGAGGTATTTTATCTCAGATGTAAAATAAAAGAACGATGCAGTAATAATTTTGCTTTATTTTATGATCTCTCAAGAGTCTACTATCAGGTGCAAGATCGAGCCACAGCTTGCAGGCGAAAGTCGACTGCAGCTACAAAAAAATGAATGATGAGTTCTTTAAAACAAACCTCAAGTAATCACTTCTGAAAGATTTTATGAAATTGTAACGTACAATAAATCACAATTAAGCACTGATGAACACCTCAGAATCTTTTGTATATCATTCAACGTATTCGCTGAAAAGAGTATGCTTGTGAGTATGGGTGAAAAAGAAACTAACATTCACACCCTTTGTGATGGATGAAAATTAATTCAGGGGTACAATACTAAATAATTTCAAATGCTAAATAGTTGAAAAGCTGTAAAAGACTTCACCAGTTGGGTCGAATACTTGATTTCATAAAGCTACAATCAGATGTTAGACCAACATGATTTTCTTTTCACAGTTATCATACTCATAAAAGATTGATGATCTGATATTCTTTGAATTATATATCGTAGTAAAAATTAGAACTATCGAATATTTTCTTGAAACCTTTCGAGCGAAAGCAATTCATTCTTTACTTGTTTGTTCATTCAAATCGTGATTTTGATAAATGCCAAGCGTTAAGAAATACATCTAAAAAACTTTTATTAATCATTAGTTAGTGAAAAACATCGGATAAACCTATTTGTACGGATCTGATGTTTAGTTTGACTAAGACTATGGAACAGATTCTAAAAGAGTGTTGGTGTGGGTGGGTGTGGATATGAGGGTTGAGGGTGTGGGCTGTTTGTATTTACTCTTTGTGTTGTATGCCACGAAGCAAAAACTTTCACCTATGTTTTATGCGATACATGCGTTAGGAAAGAGAGCAAAACCCCTTGTTTTTTTTTCGTTTGACGTCAATGTGAAGGCGTCACTTTATCGCTTGGCTATATAAACGGGTCTGAAATATTATATTTATAATATAGACCTTCAAATATAAAATGTGCGATAAATTGAATTATTTCTCAGGTGCAGATTTGCTGAACGAAAAGACTAAAACAAAGCAATCTGTTAATATCATACCAACATTGTATAATTTTACCAATGTAAAAACTAAACAACAACCGCAAAACATATATCATTACGATAGAAAAAGCACTATGTCAAACAATTTACAATCAAGTAATTTGAAATACTTGTTTTTTTGTTTTACATGTTACATTCTTATTTTATTATATATTTATTAGATATGTTTATATCAACTGATAATCTATTTGAAACTAACGATTCATTCACTCGATCGAATACTATTGATGGTAAGTGTTATAAGTAAAAAAAAGCTTTTTTAATATAAAATATTATCATATTACTTATTTCAGATGCAATTCTTACAGAAAGTATTGTTCAAGATCTTGATAAATTGTGCAATAACCCATTGATATTCAATGAAATTCCACCATGTATGTCAACTGTACTTTGCTTATAACAAGAAAATTTATTTATTTATTTATTAACTATTCTTTTAGTTGATTCAATAGAACCGACAACGGTAATCCCTATAGATCTTATGTCAGGTATGTTTAGATTTTAGAATAAATTAAAAATATAATTTTAAAAAAATATTTGATTTGTTTTATAGAGCTAAATGCTTTGATACAATGTGATCCTATACAAGTATCGAATGATTTAGAATGTCAACAAAAATGTAAAATTTATCCTTTTTAATTATTTATTTGAATTATTTGAATTTTCCTATTTTAGTTCTTCAATCTGATATTATAAAATTAGAAAAAATTCAAATAAAATGTCAACCACGTTCAAAATTTCGTCCTCGAACACAAAATGAAAGTAAAACTTCTTCACATTATTTACGATGTGACAATGGTGCTGAACTAGATTATCCTGCTATATGTGTAAGCCATCGATTAGTAATCTTCAAATAGATTAAAACAAATTTTTCTTATATTTCAGGTACCTCAGATATGGGCTTGCCAATCAGATACAAATATTATTGAAGTTGCTCTTGTCGATATTGGAAAACAACCACATCCCTATTCTATTCATAATAAAACTAGTAAAATATCATACGATGATCAAGCATTAATTTTCAAAGATGGTCCACCAAATCAATTGTATTTTCGTTTAACCGATGACGATTTTACCAATAGGTACAAAACGTAAGTTACTCTAAATAGACTCTTTTTGTTGTGTTCAAAATTTTAACTTAAATATATATCTATTTTTGGATAGTTTCATGATTGAATTCATTAAAAATAAACAAGATGATATTATTACCAAAGAATTAATTCGATCACGAAAACTTTATCAATCAATACTCCGTTTTACACGAATTTATCGAGATGAACATGGTAAATTTCAACGAGATGATATAGGTCAAGAATATTCTTCTATAATGACAGAACGTAAGAGTAAAATTGTTTTCAAAAATTCTAAAAACAAAATTCAATGAAAATTTATTTTGTTGTTATAGATTATGGTGATGTGTCTGTTGAACGTATGGGTCCAAAATATGGTCTAATTAATAGAGAATCAATGATATTTGTTGTTTTTAAAGGTCGTATTGCTAAAGATGATTTATCTATTATGATTTGTGAACAAACAACTCAATGGTCTAACGAAATAAAAAAATTTATCTTAAATGGTAATGTTATTTATTTTAATATGCCGCCTTTTCCATATCTATGTATAAATAATATAAAAGCAAGTGTAATTATTTACTATAAAAATCAAAAAATTTATCAATCAACTTATTTATATATGAACTTCTCGGATGGTATGCATATCTTGTTTTTATCAAATAGAATATTTTTCTATATTTTAATTCTTTTTTCTCTAGAAGAACTTGCTGACCTTTCTTTCAATGAATCAATATCAGATATTGACATTTCCATGAAAAAACAGAAACTTAGTCAAGACATGGTCGACACTATATGTTGTATGCCATTGATACTTCAAAAAACCTCACAAAAAAAGCCTAGAAAACGTTTAAATAGTAAATTAACTTAAAGAATGTATGAACAGATATGCGATCAAAATGACGTTTCATGTTTTGGATAGATAATAAACCGTGCAATATCATTTGGTGTTTACAAATGTCTTTGGCATTCAGTGCTTATAGACATTTGAAAATAACTAGAACAAGAGTTTTTTTTAGTTTTTTAGTTTTTTTTTATATAAGTGATATATATTTTTTGATTTAAACGAAAAAAATTTCATCAATTTCTAAATTTTATTTGACCAGTGTTGCATTTAGCATGAAGTCCGAAGAAGGCGGTGTCTCTCTCCAGATGGATTTAATCCTATTTGAGACCGTGGGTATTGTACCACAGACTATGGGTGTGAATGAGGGTGTGTATGTGTGGATATGGTAGGTGTGGAATGTGGGTGAAGAGGAGACACCCCCACCCCCACCTCAAGAACGTAAATAAAATTATCCTACTCTCTGCCGAGGACAAAGAATGACTAAAAATGATCTAGAAAAATGTCGAAGCAATGTTGGACATCTTATTTCATAGAATTCATTTATGTCAAAATCGCGTGATCAAAATGTCGCTGAAATGTTTGGCGGTCAAAGTGAAACTGACTTTGGAGTTATATTTGAAATCAATATGAAAAATGCCACACATGATACATGGAAGCGATTTGCTTATATTTCAGTACTTACGAGAGAATGTTTCCAGATGCCAGAGAGCTTTCAAGTCGTAGCTTATCGCACCTTGTAGACATTACTGAGCTGTGTCTATGGTAAAAAAAAGTTCGTGCTTATGGCCTATTGATCAAGAGTTATGACTGATTTACTGAATTTTCGACATATTTTATAGGTGTTCACCGGATACTCAAATTACAAGATTTCGATTTGAAATTTTGCCCATGGATAGAATTAATGATAGTTAGAGTACTCTAGAAATTTCAGCCAAAACTAATGCTCCTTTCTTGAGATACTGAATTTTCACGAACTAGTTGCTTGCCGCTGACTTCTCGCAAAAATCGAATTTTCGTGAATACTCAATATCTTAAGAAAGAAGCATTTGTTTTGGCTGAAATTTCCAGAGTATTCTAACTATCATTAGCCTTATCCATGAGCAAAATTCTAGATCGAAATCTTATAATTTGAGTTTCCGGTGAACACCTATGAAATAGGTCGAAAATTCAGTAAATCGGCCATAACTCTTGATCAATAGGCCATACGCACGAACTTTTTTTTTACCATAGACACAGCTCACTAAGTCGCGACTTGAAAGCGCTCGGGCACCTGGGAGTGGGTGGGTGTAGGTGGGGGTAGGCATAAGCAGATGAACCACAGTCACACCCCACACCCACACCCATTCCAGCGCTTACTGCGATGATAAAAAGTGCTGACTATTGTGGTGTCCTCAATCACTTGTGAACGCACATTTTCAAAAATGAAAACTATGAAAGCAACAGTTCAAAATTCTATCACTGATTCTCGCTTGAGTAATATTTGTTTATTGACTATCAAACATGATATAGATGTTAATTTTGAACAGCTTGTTGATACTTATTCAGGTATTTACAAAAACAATCGTATTACGCTCAAGTAAATATTTTTCTTTTTTGTTTTCAAATTTTTTGTTCTCATACATAAATTAGGCATCTTCGTATCTTAAATACAACTAGTGCATATTTAATCATTTAATTTGGATGGAATTGTAGTTTTAGAATTTAGCAATAACAGTTGAAGATATGTTATGAGGGTTAGTATCTCAAACAAGTCAACGAGTACCTTGGAAGGAGAGATAGGACTGAGCTCTTTCAAGCTTAAATTTTTTCTGACGTCACTAGGAGAAATATTAGTCAATGTACCATGTGTGGTGATACCTAAGATGGGGTTGACTTTTGAAAGCTCATGCTTAGAGTATATGCAGTATATCATTAATAAAGATCATTTATGACGTCCAATTCTTCTGATCCACTATAATCATGGAATTAAAAACCGAGAAATTGATTTAACGACATCGTTTCTTTCTATTTCTTCTCACCCAAAATGAACTGTATTATTATCGAGTTCTCCGTGCAGTGTGGCGCCATCATTTACGTGGGAATGAGCTTTTGCCACAACAAAGTATATAGTAAATATACCTTTTGCTTCTATACGGCTTTATCAACTTTTCTTTTCCTGAACTTTTATTTGAACTAAGTGCATGGATGGATCTCTCAATCGACTTTGATTTGATGATTCATGCATATATAGCAATAGAATGTTTACATTACTGACAAATAAATAAATTTAATATTGAAGACAGAGACCAACAGTTAACTTTTATAAAATGGTACATTTAGTAAGAGCAAAATGTTGTTAACACAACTCAAGAATGTGATTTCTCAATCTACTACTACCAATAGAGTTCATATAAATGTTACCGAAATTGAATCACGAACTTTACGACTGCGTATCATTGAAGATTCTATTTTTATGATTCTACTATTAATGAGGAAAATGAAGATACTTACTATTCTATTAATTAACTTCAATAGATACTCAAATTAATCAAAGCATTCAATTATTTTAATAAATGTATTGATTTTATGGCTGTATTATTATCGAACTCTGTGTGTACTGTGCCGCCATCATTTGTG